TCCCCGTCAAGCAAAAACTTAGCAAGAAAAAAGGACAGCTTCTTTTTCCCCATTTACTCGTAAAGATTGGAGTCATAAAACGTGACCAGAAGGGTTACCACTGTACTCTCCTTGGCACCTGATCCCACTTCTTCATTTGTGAACCTCTTATGCCTAACAAGGAGGCTAATTACTAGGTCAGGGCTTAGCTTACCCAGCTCACCAAGCAAAATACTAGACCATGTTTGCTCAGCCAAATACTAGACTGTGCGGGGTAACATAGCACTCCTTCACCCTCCCCCCCCATACACGACATATCAACCAAGGAAAGGGCACCCGGAGAGGGAAAGGGATCCGGCAAATCACACGGGTAGTGCATCGGGATTCCTCCATCAATCTTGGTCCATTGATAGAAGATCAGTTGTAGTCCCGAGTGGGGTTTGGCCAGTCGTCTACCTGCCCACCGGCCCACTCCACCTTGGCCATCCACACCCCCCCACCTCGTTGTTTCCCTCCCAGCCAGTCTTGACTCTACTGTATTGTTGAATATTCTTTTCGAATTCCCTTCTGTTTTTGCATTCGGGCCTTCCCCCCCCGGCCTTGTTTCCCTCCCAGCCACTCTTGACTATACTTTTGGATATCCGATTTTGCATGTAGCGTTGACAGTTTTTTCTTTCGCTTTGTTCCATTGATAAGTCAAGTCCATTTCAATCTGCTGGTTAATTCCTTCCGTGTACTCCGGGCCTGCTACTCCTTTTTCTTTGTCTTATTAATGTTTCAAACGGCCACGCGCTTGAGATATCATCATTGAATCTCGACCGGCCCCGGGTAACTCAGACTGATCTTATTATTCTGTTCATACGATTTGCATCCGGATTCGAACTCGGGTCTGCATTTCAACAGTTCATGGTACTCCTTGTTCTCTCTCTCTCTCTCTCTTTTTTTTTTTTGATGTTTGAAACGGCGACGGGCTTGAGATATGATCATTGAACCGCCCCGGCCGCCCCTACGTGACTCGGAATAATCTTATTGTGTTCGTATGACATCTGGATTGGGACTCAGGTACGCATTTCAACAGTTCCTGGTACTCATTTTTCTCTTTTTTTTTAATGTTTGAAACGGCGACGGGCTTGAAATATGACCATAGTGAACCGATCGCCCCCAGGTGACCCAGAATGATCTTATTGTGTTCGTATGATTTGCATCTGGATTGGAACTCAGGCGGGCATTTCAACAGCTCATGGGTGTACCAGCTGAGCTACCGGGTCTTCAACCGAACAGAATGCCCGCTCATTGCAGCTGTATTTGGGTCAATGATCACTCTACAGTAGGCACAGCGATAATGACCGGGCGTTATCTCGATTTTTTTTTGTTTATCTCGAAATTTCTGAGGCAGGCAACTGGGACAACTTCTGAAGGAAACATAACCGGGTCTGTAGAAGGATCTTGTAATTCCGACAGCGGGGATTTTTTTTCGACGTAAAACTTCTTTTTGTTTGTTTGTTTTTGGACGTAGACTTCGTAAGACGCAATCGGACAGAGCAGTCCCTAAGATCTAATATCTGCAACTCGCATATTACTATGTGTTGCGTGTCGGTGATTTCGGCTTTCCTCGTGGACGATCTCGGCTCCTATCTCGCTTCTCCGATCAATCGACTCATCAAATGTGCAAACTCAAGAATGGATCGCTAGAACATGGACAGACACACGGCCACAGTTTCTGTCTTATGTGCATCAGGTGAGTGCTGGAGCGAGGCCCTTAGACACTAATCGCTTATGTAGGCTGGGTGAGCGGAGAAAAGGGGGCGGCGCAGTGGCTGGCTCACAGTGCTCAGCCGGGGATCGCAACCGGGAAGGCTTAGTCTAGGGCAGAAGAATAGCCAGGGAGACGTAGCCTATTCTCAAACTGCCTATTCTTCTACGATTGTGCAATCCCCGCAACAAACGAGCTTGAGAATCGTTGCTCAAGCTCGAGAATCGTTTCTCAAGCTCGTTTATCGCAGTTCTCTTTTGTCAATACGGCAGTCTCATTAGTAACGCTGTGTCGCCCTTCGGGACATCACAGCCGTTAAAACTAGAGCGATACCGAGATGATTAGCATGGCCCCTGCGCGAGGTTGCCATTGCATCAATCGAGAAATGGTCCAAAAAAAAAAAAAAAAGAGGATACAAAAGGGAAAAGAGGAGGGAGGGGGGGAGAGGAGATAAAGAAAAGAAAAAAACAAATAATAATAGTAATAATAAAGTTTTGTCCGATCTCTGTGTCCGATCTTATCTGAACTACGATCTTTTGATCGCACGTGTGTGACATCTCACCCCACAGTGATCAGCACTAGCATCGCTGGTGTTCCCCGACCGGCAAGGCGGCGCCTGCCCATCCCCACGTTACCTTGCCATCCCCACATTACCTTGATGAGGGCTAAGCAGAGCTTCGCTCTCAAACCCCCAAGACTAAGTTGCAAACGTACCCCGATGAATTAGGTTCGGGGGAGAGAGAGAGGAGTTAGTGGGCGCTCCCGTCGGAGGCCTGGTAGTGTGCACACAGGAGAGAGATTAACAGAAGAGCAAATGAGAAACGAAGCCAGAAAAAAAAAAGAAAATGAAGAAGTGCAGCGATGATGAGGT